GACCGCCAGGTTGCACAACTATGGGGTACAAACCCAATTGCTCCACACCAGGTCACTAGTGTTTTTTGTTAAGCCATATCCCAATCTTTGCAGATTTTGGGTCAGAAACCTCCGTCAGAAACCTTCCAAATTCCCGGTCAGAAGGTGCTTTCGCCTGGGCGCACGTTCCCAACATGGAGCAAGATGTGATTAGAATCCTGATCTGGTCCTTTAAGCCATAGACACAAAGATACAGGGGAGTTGGACACCTTGGGAAAGAGCTTTGTGCATTTGGAATATTTGGAACACGGACCTTGTGTGTATGCTAACAGAAACAGTTTTCATGATTCGCTTGTGGGATGGGGACCGGTCCACTCTCATGTATGGCCACGGTGACCGAAAGCACCGTGGCCGATGGGAGGTTCCCCGACAAGAACAAAGGAGTTGAAGATGCGTTTGAGTACTGTAGTAAAGGCGGAGCCTGACTGGGTTTCACTCAACTGTGTGTGGTTTGCTATCGTTTCTATTAGGTTGGAGGCCATCGCCAGTAGGTTGGAGGCCATTCCTATTAGGTTCCTTTTGATAGGTTGGAGGTGTGTCTCTGTGTGCTCCCAGCCTTCGCGGAACGGAGTCGACTCAGCGAGACTGTTGGGCCTACGAGTGCCCTAGGCTCCCTAGTCAAGGATAGACGAGGTGACCAGGTGTTTTTCTGTTATTTTTTTCCGTTGGCATCACAGCATGCCTGTTCCACCGTCAGCAAAAAAACAACACATTTACATTCGCTTCCTTGCTGTATGTAATACACGCAGTATGCGGCAGTATCACGGATATTTCTAGACCGTGTTCCACGCTTTTCACCCGTTCCACGGTGAGCCTGACCTTTTACAAAAAGCATCTCACAATGCCCACCAATGCATGTTTGAATGCATGGCGTTGAAAAAACGCATGTCACGCAACCCTTCAGATGTTTTTGTTCGAAAGACGAGCAAATGTTGAGAGTGTTTGTTCTAACAACTATATGCAAGCAATGGCAAAATTGGACCTGCACAGCCCTTCCAGGAGTTGATTATAACGACCAAAAACGTCTTCAAGTATATAGATACCTTTCGGCAGGGGCAGCATCATATAGATACCTATTTCGGCCCAGTGGTTTCTATGCTTTTAACTTCATGTAAATTCCTTTCTTAGCACAGACGTTGAAAACAGTTCCCTTTGCCCACAGCGATTTTTAATCCAATTGTACAGTTCGTGGCTGGTTGATTGAGTTGTGTTTTTGGAGATCCTTCTTTATTTTGGAAGGCAACGGAGACATCGTGAGACGGTGAGACACCCACAGAAGTACACACCTTTAGCAAATGCTGAAGCTCACCTGCAATGATAAATTGTCGGAAACCATATTTTCACAGTCGGCTTGGCTGTCCGAAGTACACCTGACCAGAATCGACTGTTGCGAAATTGCGATTCAGAGTCCAAACTTTGGGCCACCAAGCTGCTACGTTTTCGCCCAGGTGCATGGCAGGTCTCCCAAAAGTGAGGAACTCATGGTCAGCACCGATGGACCTGCGCGGGTTTGCATGGGTTTGCGCTTTTGGGGTGTGTGAGGGCAAACGTCACTCAACAGAAAGCATGGCCCCATGTTCTTCGTTTCTTCTTGTAGGATGTCAAACATAAGAACTAGCTCTACCAAACTCCCAATGTCATGTGTTTTTGGCAGACACGTACTAGGCGACTACAAGCTTGCCTGACTCCTTCCAGACCCCCTTCTTGCGGCGCAAAACCAACTCTCGCCTCGCACTTCTCGGCCGCTGTGCTTCGCATTCTCGGCCGCTGTGCTTCGTCGGCCCCAGCGCCGACCACCTCGGAGAAGTGGCAGATATAAAGAACATGATTCGCTCCTGGAAAATATCCTGCAAGAGGTGGAGTGATTTGTAAGTTTTGGGATGTCGCGCCAGTTGCTGACTCGATGCTGATCTTTCTATCATCCAGAAGTTTTGGGCGGGTGTAATTTGAGTATCCTTCATCACGGGTGTGCTTTTCAGGGATCTAGCAAGAACAACTCTGCAAACCACATTCATCTAAGTATTTGATGTTTTGAGAAGTTGCTATTGAGTACTCTGAGATTACAGGATCCCTTTTCGTGCTGTTTGCAGCGGCAGTTGGGTCAGGTTGGAGAGCTACAGTACCAGGCAGATGTCAGTTTCTAGAATGCTTTGACAAGTATATAATGAGTGCTCGACCGGTAGATAGGCCTGGGGCCTAGCCACTAGCTTACTAGAATTTGTTGGTACCAAAGTTCGAATTGCGCTGGGGAATTGCAAGAAACTACTAGTAGCAAAGGGCATTTCTACTAGGGGCAAGGACGCTACTAGAAGCTCCTGGCCTTACTACCAGGAGCAAGAAGCTACTAGCAAGGCACCAATCCGTCGTTTTGTTCATCTTTCAAGAGCAAGGACCTACAGACGTCCACGTCCTGTCGACCTCCAGAGGTCGCAGCTTCAGTCGGTCACATGTTCTGAACAACGTGACTTCTAGTAGCTTAGCTTCTAGTAGCGTCCTTGCTCCTAGTAAGGCCAGGAGACCCTTAGTAGCTTCTTGTTCGTAGTAGCGATGCGATCCCCTAGTAGCGTCCTTGCTCCGTGATTTGGGTTACATGACGGCCCCAAACCCGTGGGGGAGGCATGTTGCTCCAGATCGCACCGAAGTTCCGGGTGTGCAAGAGATTCTGGGTTCGAACATCGACGGCTCATCGGATGGACGTATGTTTTGATTCGAGGTCAGGAAACACATACGTGATACGTTGTTTGTGTTGTTTTACCGAACGATTGCTGGCCAGCTTGAGCAACTTCTCCGAGAGGTTCTACAGCGATGCTTAGGCCTGTCTTCCACCGAAGGTGATGTCAAATCACATTTGGATGCTTTGCATCGCTCAACTCATCTAAGCTAGATTCCCAAAGCGTAACGATATCGTGTGTAATTAGGAGATAGAGGGTAGTTTGCAAACGAGTGACTGTGCAATTTTCCAGCATGTATTATCCATCTTATAGATGAGGCTTGTAAAGAGATTCAATTGCTTACTTTGCGATCAGCGGCACTTGCTGGCAAGTGCTTGACATGAAGTTTCTTGTCATCATGTTGCAGAACTCATCATTGTTCCAGTTCACCAGAGTCTTTTCGTTGCTTTTAGGTTGGAGGCCATTGCTATTAGGTTGGAGGCCATCGCTTCTGCTGTAGGTTGAAGGCCATCGCTATTAGGTTGGAGGCCATTACTATTAGATTGAAATGAACAGCTTTTGAGCAGCTTGATGTGTTGCACAGCAATGCATAGCCCTCCTTTCCTTCCGGATTTTCGGCCGTGCGGACCGTGCGGAGACTCGTTGGCCCTGGCAGTTGCCAACAGAAGCTGCTTCAGGTATGGGTCCTGTGACTCGGGTACAAGAGCAGATGAACGAGACGGGGAACATCGGGTTGAGACGTTGAGCGAGCCCAGGAAACAGAGCACCAGGGCATTGGGAGAAGTAGATGAGATGAGTGAGGAAAAGAGACAAAAGACTAGCCAGCAAAAGGCAGTTGTGTGTGTGTGTGTGCGCACGCAGAACCTATTTCTATTGTGTGTGTGCGCATATCGCTATGTTTAGCATAGGCATAGTTTCAACATGGTTCAGGTAGACCACCCGGTGGATCAATTTGGGCTGTGCGTAGACGCCTGGGGCGAATTTTGTTGGACATCTCTATAGATTAGACTTGGCATTCCATTTCCCTTGGTCCCCTCCCATTGTGTCTTGCCTGTCAAACCAAGCAACTTGGCACTGGTGTTGAGGCGTCCTAGAGATGGTTTTGACATGCTTTGACTGAAGTTGAGAAAAAGAGTCGAAACACCAGCTGCATTCACATGGCGAAGCACATCGTTGAAGCCATAGAGCCACATGTGCTCTTCGAGTAAGCTGGTGACCCATACACGTCTTGGGCGATCCGATTTTCGTTTGCACGCCATAGTTCCATGTGTGATCAATCGCAGCATCGATTGCTACAAGAAAATAGATCTTCGCGAGAAAATGATTGGCAAACAGTTGTGGTTGTGGACGGGGGGTTCTCCGGGGACTTTCAGCAATCCTAGAAGCAACCATGTCCACTCAAAAACCACTTAGATGTAGATTTGATGTTGTGATTTGAGGTAAGATGATTATGCTAACTCCTTGAAAAGTGCACGTGTTGTTGTTAGAATACAGATGATTTTCGCGTCGTGTTTGCGTAACTTAAAGACATCCACGGTACATGAGGAAAGTGTACTTGAACAGTGCGCGATGGACTTAACGGGGGGGTGGATGGGGATGGGCTGGGGGGTAATAACACTCGGTATCTAATGTCTTCTTGTTAGAAGACGGATGATCTTCGCGTCATGTCTACGTATTTCATGAAAATACGCACGCTTTCTCAGAAACACAGGCAGGCTCCGCGTTTTCGACTTGTTTCACCCTTTGCTTGTGTCGTTTTCGTCCGGAGAACCTTCCGTCTGGAGCCACACTTGTTATAATGTTGCATCCTGAGGGGATGCTTTGCACCTTTATCTTAGCTGCTATTTTTCCACCGGTTGTTCAATGTTCCCATATGCAAACCGCAGCCCAAAATTTCTTGGCGTGATCCAGGGACCCTCCAGTTGCGGGGGGGGAAGTAGAAGAGATTGGTTGGGGCAACAGATTTCTCAAGCTTGTTGGCTATGTTCTTTTCGAAACTTTGACTTGAGACTAACAGAATGTCAATCCAAAGTGACTTCGACTAGTGCCTGGTTTAAGAAACAATATCACCCAGGGTCAGGGGTTTGCAAAACGGCCGCACTCAGATTCTTTTCAGGGTGCCTACAGCTTCCGTCCACGCGAGAAGCGTGGCATGTCTGAAGGGTGCAAACGTTCGCGGAGAAGCCATGCCAATGCCAAGCCATCAAGGTAAGTCAGTTCGAAAATTCAAACCCCTCCCACCAAGAGAGAAGACATCGATTTATATACATCACTGGCTCGTGTTGCCAGGCAAGTGGCTATTTGGATGGGGAGGTGGAATTCAGTGATTTTGGACAGCTTCTTGAGAACCTTCAGGCGCGTAATGGCGCGCAAAGCGACATTTGAGTGGAAGCACGAATTCACTGTCACTTCTAACGTGTTTCGATGTGTTCGACGAATTACTCGGTCACGAAGGATGTTTGCAGACTCAGAACAACGTACTCTCCTTTTGAAGACCCTTCCGAAGATGCGACTCATCGGTTCCGACCCCAAAAGTAGGCCCGTTCCACATGGTGGGCAATCCGATTGTTTGATTTGGACTTGGGAGCGAAATCCGTGCCTGGATGTGCTCGATATCTATTTGGACATCAAGCAAATCCACGAGGTCAGCTCATCCAACGAAGCCCCTTGGAAGCCTTTTGATATCCTTTGCTGCCAGAAGCAATGCCCATGGGCAAAATCGGATCCAGTCTTCGAAAGCATTTCACCACACCTGACCATGGCATGTTTCACCCAGACTCGAACACCTCGCGCTGTTCGAAAGCCATTTGTTTTGAGAGTTGACCGGTGCATCAAGTGAGTATTTTGAGTGACAACCCCAGCCTTGCGCCATGGCACTCTCCAGGGGAAGTTGGAAGGTGAACGTGGCAAAGTGTCCGACAAGGCAAAGATGGACGTGGTTTTCGCTGTTGAATTAGAAGAAATTGCGACCATGTGGTGCTTGTTCTCTTGACAAATTTCATGTGCTAAGAGACCACGAATTCATCTGAATTCCACAGAGAGTCCCAAATACAGTCAGTACCGTTGTTCTCAGTGCGACCATGAATCGGCATCAATCGTTTCGAAAGCCAGGAGGTTCAGAACCATGCTTCTAAAAGTCAGTGGATTCCAACTGGATTATAGAGGTGTCGAATGGGTTGGGAAACACGATGTCATCGTAGCTAACTTCGGCCAGACTGCGTTTGGTCAACATCAGAACCCTTTGCACCCATGAGAGGACCAGGGGAGGGGTGTTGGGGAACATGGGAACATTGAACATGCAGAGAGGAGTGTTGGGGAACATCATGTAACATGAAATCCGTCGATTGTTACATATCCAAATACAGCCAGCTGAAATCCATTGAAATCCACTGGGTCCTTTGTCAACAAGCCTCCAGTGATGGCAAAACATCATATGCAGCTTTTGAGGTGTTGAGCTGCTTTTTCGCACATGCGCACCCACAATGTGCTGCAACTTTGCGCCTTCCACTGTGTGTAATCGACGCTGCTCGCTGTGGCTCAGGCCCAGATTTCACAACACAGTCAGTTGATTTATAATTGGCGGTCATTAATGTACCCCAGCCCCAGCCCCAGCCCATTAATAATTATCATTGACCTGCAAGCATTTGACCCTTGGCAGCCATGGGGAACAAGTGCTGCGTGTGCGACACAGGGCTCGAAGAGAGCGTTGTGAGGCCGGGTTCAACCTGACTGACAAGGCATCATGCGCATCCAACCCTTTTTCACTCAGTTCGAGGGCAATATTGTTCGTCACACTTTTGACTGCAAACCAGGACCTACCACATCCTAGCACAGGACCTAGCCATGTTTAGCCTATGTGGTTTGCAGATTTGCAGGTTCACAACGGAAAAAGACGCAAGATGGCCTCACAAACCAAACCTCTTTAGGTTGACGATGTTCGCCCATGTTGGGCTGCACACGCCGCTCGTTTTTCTTCCAAAGTTTCGGTTCTGACTAATAGCTTCTTAGTTACTACTAGTAACAAGTGCCACGCTACTAGTAACAGGTGCCTTACTAGTAGTAACTAAGAAGCTATTAGAATTAAATTGAATTAATTCTAATAGCTTCTTAGTACTACTAGTAAGGCACCTGTTACTAGTAGCATCTTAGCCGGGGAGCAGTATGACACGAGGAGCGCATGTGGCGATCGGTTGACAGGGCCCTCCGCGTGCCCCGGTGCGGGTATGTGCAGGACAAATGCCAAGCCTGTGGTCGAAGATCTTCCGCTTGAGTTTCCTATGTGGCTGATGCCTGCGAGAGCCTCTTGGTGCAACTGCATAGTCTTCTTGATGTGATGTGCCATATCCATTTCAGGAAGCTGTGCTGTGTTGGCATTTGGATTCTTAGGAGAGACAATGAATTTCCCTCCACCATAGCTTTGTGAGAGAAATTTGATACATTAGTACCATTGTTCCATTCAGAAATGAACATGATATGAACATGAGTAACATGAGTATGAACATGATATATAATTTTGGAGAGCCAACTTCCAAGATGTTGCAGGTCGCAAGCCGATGCTGTCCACTATCGAACCGCTTGATGGGGATATGGATACTTCGAATAATTACGACAATCGGATGCCCCTCATGTCAAGATGCCCCTCATGACCAGTTTGTATGCTAGTAGTAACATCCTCGGTGGTCGTCAGTTTCGGAAATCAGGTCGAGTGGTGATTTCGGGGGGTGACATGAATTCACCAAGCCTCTGAAGGCGAAGTTCATATGTCAGATATTCCCCAACGAGTTGGTCATCAGTTTTGGCATCAGCATAGGTATACCAGGTATACGTAACGGTGAACTACCTATCCCCAAGAGATTGCCAACATTTGCCAACCATGCTTTGCTGGGGCAGAGAGCTCCTTATATCTCCTTATATTGATATGTTTTCATTGAAGTAGGAGCAGACCGAAAGGCAAAGAATAACTACTCATCTCGTCTCAACCAGATTGGCCAACCTTTTGTAAAACATTATTACAAAAAATTGGAGCTTTGTGGAGAGACATATACCGCTGCAATCTTGTAAGGTTTGCATGCAATTCACCAAAGTTATTTTGCAAACTGAAGTGACTTAAGTAAGCCTTCCTTCGGGAAGTTTGCAGCTACTGGCCCTTCCTTCGGAGAAGGAGGACTCTGAAACGATCGAGAGAAATTCACCCCTCCACCGTCCGAGAAAACGACGAGCGCCGCTCGTTGGCACCACTGTGAAGGTCCTTGTGACCCTGAAGCCTCCGCTGAGACCTCACAAGGACGGGACCAGAGGAGTCGACGCATCCACAAAGGACGGTCGGTCGTTGAACTGAGAACTGAGTGTGAGAGGGACATGACGATCACATGATCAATTGCAATCCATGTACTTGGAGTCTCTCTGTCTCTGGTTTTTCATAGCATCTAAAAAGTGATCCAGCTGTCCCGGACGTGGCCCCCATACCCCCCCAAAAGGTTCAAAAACGTCACAATCTCGACACCGTCGGTCACCCGGCCCATGGGGCCGAGCTGGTGCGAAGTTCTCTTTTCGGGCACTCGGCAAGAGGTGGGGAGAGACTCGTTTCGGATTCCCCTCAACGCAGCCTGCTCCAAAAGGATAGTTGCCAAGCTAGTCCTTTACAGGAAAGCAGGAGAAGGCATGCATATTCCCCAGCATGACCTGCAAGAGTCCGATGATTGATTCGGACATGTCTGGAATCCAATTTAGGGCTGAGAGAATCAGTGGCAAGACTGGAGGAGATGTTAGATGCTGGCCACTTGATCCAATGGAGAAGTGGCCATCCCAACAAGGCGGGGCAGTTTGGCTGATCGCCGTCTCAGGCTAGTGGAGATCTCTCCAAAGCCTGGACTTGGAATATTGGAAGGTTGAGGATCCCCAAGGTGGCAAGTCTCCTGCGATCGTGTCATAGTCGCTTGACAATTTGAGAAGTTTCACTAACATCAGCTTCGAACATCCACATCGAATCACAACCAGACACTGGCCCCCAACCAGCCAGTGGGCAGGAGTACTTCAGATACTTCAGGCTGAGTTTCTTCTTTTTGGTTTCTATAGGTTTCTACAAGATGGTGTAAACAGCGCCGCCTGAAAAGGGCCGAAGTGAGATCTTGCTGACTCAGACTAGACCGTCTGACTCATTGCATTTTTGTATGAACTCATTCGACAAAGAGCAGCTGATGGGCAGTCCAAGTTGGACATGCTCGGGTGGTAAATGAGGTGATGCTGATCTCCCACCAATGGGCGGGTCGACGTCATCCCGATCCCAAGTTCGAGCAGTTCGCGGTGCTTCAGCAGGCGGAGCCCGCTTTTTAGAGAGTGAAGGGAGATCCCGGCGGTGTCCCAGAAGCGGTATGCATGGAGGCATACAAGATCATATCAGGATCATACCAATTTATTAATGTCATGAAGCATGGCCACTGAATCACTTCCCACTGGACATTAAAAAACTATCCACACCCAACGAATTACGCTTTCAAAGCAAAACTTCAGGTCCAAGGCCTCGGGACACAAAACGACCAGAGCCACAGGGGCCTTTGGGGCGATCGACGTATCGAAGCGACCTGCTCCAGGCCTTGCTGGAGATGTCCAGAGGCAATTGTCGCGTCTCCAAGGACGGTGTTCGATCGACGAGAGGTGTGCGATCATCGGACGACGTCACACGGTTGTTGTCGCCGTATAGATGATACACCAATGTCAATGGCAAGATAGGAAAGGATAGCAAACAAAGACAACCAGCCAGATTGACAAAATGTTGAACATATTTATTTTATGGTTAAATAGTATGTTTGGTTGTTGAGCAATACTTCTTGTAGACGTGCAGTGCCCATCAGTGGATTGTCATGGAATGTCATGGATGGTATTGGTTGACAACACCTCAAGATTTGGACCATCTTGGAACATTTTTGGCCATTGAGCCACACTGCAATTTCTTAGCAAAGACTTGAATGCAAAACAAATTGAAAAGAGATTATATATGACCATTGTATGACCATATCGTGCTAAGCCAACCTGCTGTGTGTGGCTAGTAAAGACTCTTCATCATGTCCCGTTCCTTTCTGAATTTCTCCTCCTCCTCGTGCGGTCGCTGCATGTCGTTCCAACGAGTAGCGCTGCAGGACCCCAGCAGCGAGCTGTCAGAGTTGAACGGCGCTGCCAAGCAACCGATCCCCAGCATGGAGGCCCCCCGGCATCCGAAATCAAATGGGGAGTGCATTGCGAACATCAACGACCTCGGATTGGAGGCTAAGTTCTCCTGGATCGACCTTTTTGGAGCAAAATGCGAGGATAAGTGAGGATGGCAGGGCCATGTATGATACGTTTTGATATCAAGGACACTGGCTTTCTGGGATACATCCTGTTTTCAGGAGCAGAAGAGTGTCCTCGAGTGGGACATTTGGTATGACTACTTTGGCTGCCCGCAGATTGCACCCTGTCTTTGTTTGTCGTGCACATCGTGCACGGAAGCATTGGGCTGTCAATTCGTAGTCTGGACACATGGACAAAACGTTGACATGCATAGGTATACATGCATCAAACGTGCATCAACCATGCATCGAACGCTGCAATGGTAGAATCGAACTGAGGAAGGTGTAAGATGCCTGCTTTCCCAGTCTGGACTCCCTGGACCCCCCAATCCCCGAAATTGCCCGAAATCAATCGAAATCAGAGAATGCATGGGAATCAACAACTCACGGTGTCCTGTCCAGCCCTCATGATTGTTGCTCATTAGATCAGCATCAAATAAGGGCAAGAGATCACAATTGGGCTGGTTCTTGTTGAGCCTTAAGTGTGCTAAGTTCAGGCTTTTACAGGTCAGGGTACATAAAGTGAAATGAAGTGAATCAAACCTGCCAGTCGCGAATCCACGTCCCTTCCAAGTCCCTTGTCCTACCATGCCCACCA